CCTTACTGAGCCGCGCCAGGCACCGTCCGCGAGGCCCTGCGCGCCCGTGACGTCATTGCCGAGCGCCTCTCGCACACCAAGAAGACTATGGCTCTGGCGCGGCCGCTGCGGCCGCTGTTGCTCGCGGTTCGGTTGCTTTTGGCGCCTCGACGGGACCTAGGGGTCCTTGGTCCCGACGAGCCCCTGCCCGTGGTGCGCATCCCGCGGGCTCTACAGCGGCGGCAGGAACAGCGGCAGAGCGGGCGACGGAGTTCCCCGCGGCTGGTGCTGGCGCGACCGGGCCCGCTGGTAATCTCAGCGCGGCGGCCGGAGTTGAACCAGCCGGCGCGCCTCACGCTGGGCCGTTGGGAGCGCGCGCCACTAGCTTCGCGTGGTTGGAAGAATCGGCGCTCCCGCAGAGACTACTTCTCTATCGAGCGTGCGCAACAGGAGGCACCATCGCTGCGGAACCGCCCATCCGAGGGCAGCTTCGCGGCTCTGGGTCTGGAACCCCGCGTGCTGCATGCACTACAGGAGGCTGCTCCTGAAGTCGTTCGGCCTACAACCGTGCAGTCGAGCACCATCCCCCCGCTACTTCGCGGCCGCCACATCCTTTGCGCGGCGGAAACCGGCAGTGGCAAGACTCTTGGATATCTGCTACCTCTGCTTCAACGGCTCTTGGGCCGGCCAAGCCTGGACTCGCACAGTATACCTGCCCCTCGAGGCCTGGTCCTTGTGCCTTCGCGAGAATTAGCCGAACAGGTGCGGGCCGTGGCCCAGCCCTTGGGCATCTCCTTGGGCCTCCAGGTGCGGGAGCTAGGGGGAGGCCATGGCATGAGTAGGATCCGGCTGCAACTGTCCAAACAACCTCCAGTAGATGTACTAGTGGCCACTCCAGGAGCTCTGTGGAAGGCCCTGAAAGGTCAACTGATCAGCCTGAAGCAGCTCTCCTACTTGGTGTTGGATGAAGCAGACACACTATTGGATGAAAGCTTCCTAGAACTAGTGGACTATATCTTGGAGAAGAGCCATATAGCAGAAGGCCCCGCTGACTTAAAAGACCCCTTCAATCCCAAAACTCAATTAGTGCTGGTGGGGGCCACATTTCCCGAAGGTGTAGGCCAACTGCTAAGTAAACTTGCCAGCCCAGACTCTCTGACCACCATCACCAGCTCCAAGCTCCACTGCATCATGCCTCATGTTAGACAGACATTTATGAGGCTGAAGGGAGCAGAGAAGGTGACTGAGTTGGTGCAGATCCTCAAGCAATATGACAGATCACAAAGGACTGGCCCCTCGGGAACTGTTCTGGTGTTCTGTAATAGCTCCAGCACTGTGAACTGGCTGGGATATATTCTGGATGACCATAAAATCCAACACCTAAGGCTGCAGGGACAAATGCCAGCCTCAATGAGGGCAGGCATCTTCCAGTGCTTCCAGGAGGGCTCCCGAGACATACTCCTCTGCACAGACATAGCCTCTCGGGGCCTGGACAGCACCCATGTAGAGCTAGTTGTCAATTATGATTTCCCCCTCACCCTGCAAGACTACATCCACAGAGCAGGTAGGGTGGGCCGTGTAGGGAGCGAGGTGCCTGGCACCGTCATCAGCTTTGTGACCCATCCGTGGGATGTAAGCCTGGTTCAGAAGATTGAGCTGGCAGCTCGCCGGAGGAGAAGTCTTCCAGGACTAGGGTCCTCAGTAAGAGAGTCTTTGCCCCAGCAAATCTGATCGTAGCCGGCTTAAATGTGATGCCATTAACAGGAATCTTTCCCTTTGCCCTGGGTGGGTGAGCACACTTGTCGGTAGGATGCACTGGGCTGCCCAATCACCTCCCTGAAGGCCTGGTGAGCTGCTGTCTGGCTTCCAAAGGTAGATTTGCCCAGCACTGGAGAATGAGCATGGTTCTTTGTGGTCTTTCACATGACTCCTGAAAAATAAAGAAGATTTTTTGGCTTTGTATTATGTCATTTCTAACAATAAATGATGTTTTTATGGGCCTAATAATAGTTAATACTGGGGTAGAATTCATTGGATTGTGAGAAGATTCACACTCCAAACAACACATCTGGGACCGAGGCTCTTTCCACTGCTGTTTTATTTTTATTGTTTAAAGATTTTATTCATTCGAGAGAGAGCGAACACAAGTGGAGAGAGGGAGAAGCAGACTCCCCACTGAGCAGGGAGCCTGATATAGGGCGCTATCCCAGGACCCAGAGATCATGACCCAAGCCAAAGGCAGACACCCAACCGAGCCACCCAGCCAACCCATTCCATTGCTGTTTTAATTAGTAAACATTTAGATTTTATTTCTTGCCCCCAAAACATCCATTAAGCACCCCAGAGAAGGGAAAGGGGATATGAGTAGCAGATTTTCTTCACCAACAGTGCCCATGGCAAGCTTGGGCATTCTTGGTGAAATCTCTCTGGGAAGTACTGGCAGAAGAATAGAAGACAGGCTGACCCAGAAGTAATGCTTGGTGTGCATTTCCAGGCTCTGCCTTCTTTCTCATCTCCTGTGGCAGGGGAAGAGAAAAGAGGATTATACTTTTTACAAAACCGGCAAAATAGGCATGTAGCATCCTCTCTTTCCTAGGTTCCATTTTCTGCAGCATTATATAAGCCTAAAGTAATGCACAGTTGAGAGTCAGATACTCCACAAAACAACTTAAAAATACTTGCACACTGAAAAGGATAAGGTTGCATAGAAAAGAAATGGGCCCAGGGCAATCTTTGCCAGGAGAGAATATTGCACTAAATGTACAATCATGGGGTGCCTGGGTGGCTCAGTCGTTAAGCGTCTGCCTTTGGCTCAGGTCATGATCCCAGGGTCCTGGGATCGAGCCCCGCATCGGGCTCCCTG